AGACACTCAGCAACACAGGAATTGCCAGACATAGCAGCTTCTGATCCTTCTGAATTAACTTTCTCATTTCAGTTTATAGCTGTCTTTACCAACAACCTGGTAGAGACTAGGTTACTTGCCACCTGGATAAGGGAGGTGAGGTCAACGTCATTAACTTAGACTTTAGGAAGGCCTTTGACTTGGTGTCCCATGAGACTGTTAAAGTAAAACTAGGGGACTATGGGCTCAACGATTCAGTGGTCAGATGGGTGGGAAACTGGCTGTAGGTTCGAACCCAGAGAGTACTAATAGACAGATCTGTGTTGCCCTGGCGGAAGGTAGCCAGTGGGGTCCCTCAGGGTTTGGTACTTGGACCAGTGCTTTTCAACATTTGCATCAATGATCTGGATGTGGGGGTGAAAAGCACACGGGGAAAGTTTGCTGATGGCACTAAGCTTTGGGGAAGTGTGACCACACATCAGGGTAGGCTGATAATCCAGGCAGAGCTAGACAGCTTAGTTAGATGGGCGGACCAGAACCAGATGCTGTTCAACACTGAGAAGTGTAAAGTGCTTCATCTGGGGAGGAAAAAATCCACAACAAATTTACAGGCTTGGTGGTTCTATGCTAGCTAGCACCACATCCAGAAGGGACCTGGAGGTCATAATTGACCATAAAGTGAATGAGCCACTAGTGTGATGCTACAGTTAGCAGAGTAAACAATACGCTGGCATGCATCAAGCGATGCATCTCTAACAAAACTAATGAAGTTCTTCCCCCGCTCTGCTTGGCATTGGTGAGGCTGCAGCTGTAGTACTGCATCCAGTTCTGGGTGCCACACTTCAAGAAGGATGTGGATAAGCTTGAAAGAGTCCAGAGAAGAGCCACTCATATGATTAGAGGCCTGAAGAGCAAACCATATGAGGAAAGGCTGACAGATATGGGACTGTTCAGCCTAGAAAAGAGTAGACTTTGAGGGGGATTTGGTGGCAGCTTACAAATATATCGGGGAGAGCATCAGGGGCTAGGCGAACAACTATTTACCAAAGCGTGTCAGGGGAAAACCAGAGGCAACGGTCATAAACTCCTAGAAGAAGGTTTCAGACTGGATATAAGGAAAAACTTCTTCACGGTTCGTGTGACCAGACTCTGGAATAGACTCACAGCAGAGGTGGTGCAGGCATCTACCCTGGAGATCTTCAATAGGAGACTGGACGCACACCTTGCAGGGGTTATTTGACCCCAACAGTCTTTCCTACCCAGAGCAGGGGGACTGGACCTGATGACCTCACAAGGTCCCTTCCAGCCCTAAACTTCTGTGAATCTGTGACTAGTTCAGGTTTAACCTGATGAATCAATTAAACCCAATTAAACAACAACATCTGTTGTAATGGAAAAGACTTTTTATGGGTCTGACAAGTGACCATCCTTTTACCTGATGCCTGGCAAATTTTAGCCCTACTTGATCAGCCCAGTGGCTCACTAGTCTACCTATCCTTCCTCCTAATAGTCTCCATATGGTGTAGTCCATTCTACAGTGTTCTTAGTGTCATGAAAGTGGACAACACGTTCCTTACTCCTGTATCTATTCATTTTTTTGCTCTGAAGTATGTTTAATGAGGTAGAAAAACTACAACTAGGTATAAGACAGAAGTGAATCATCTGTACTGCAATGAAAGTAGTTCTATACCCTCCTCGGTAGCTCTAATGCTGTCTCACAGGCAGGTTAGTGGACCAACCCAGAACCTCTTTTAACAGTTACACTTGGTAAACAGCAATTCATTTGAGGAATGCAGTTCCCATACATATGCCTAATAAAAGCTGTTAATGAGTTATCTTTCATGTGTATACACACCTTCACAATGCTCTTAATCCAGCAGTGTTTTTCCTAGTTGTGCAGACTCTTTGGCTTTCTGAAAAAAAATATAATAACCTACCAGGGCAGCCAGTAGCCAATGGGAAATGGCTTTCCAGGAGGAAAAAGGGACTTAACAGTGGAAAGAGGTTTGGCACTGTTGGCAGTGTCTGCTTCCAGGCGCTCACTCTGCCAGTTGTCCAGTGTCAATAATGGAGGATTTGGGAGATGAATCACCAACTACACAGGGGTTGATGATCATTGTTTAACTTATTTGATGCAGCTATCTTACTCATCTCTCACTTCCCGGCCACCCCTCCCTTCCTCTTTCCATGTTCCCCTTCCCCTATGTCTCTGGCATCTGTAATGATTCCAAGCCCATGTCAACCAATTCCCTTGGCTCTTTATATTCACATGGCCAAGAAAAACTTCTGAACTAGCTGCTCCTCTACTGTACTTAAGAAAGATTATGAAACTCAGATATATCTAAAAAATAGTTGAAAGCCAGGAGACCATCAGTTTGCTTGCATTGCATGGGCCTTTTTTCCACCTGCTTTAATCTAAACTGTCACAGCCAGAGAATGTGACCAAATATCACCAAGGTCTGAGGGAATGGGTCTTTGAGAGGTGCCTCCTGCTGTAGAGAGGGGCAGTTCTACCACAGTCTCTGCCACTGATTTTCTGCCACCCCTGAAGTTGCCTAAGTTCAGAGCTCCCGGCACAGGGCCCACCGGTGAAACCTCTAGAAAGAGGATGCCGTGTACCGCCAAAGAGCATTGACTCATGCCATCTTGTGACATGTTCCCAGCTGTAGCTAATCTGATGCTGTAGAATAAAAGGGGGGAGAAGAATAAAATACTTCCAGCTGAATGCACATCAAAGGGGAGAGTGTTTTCCTTCCAACTCCTGCAGGTCACTGCTGAAGTCTTGAAGCCTGAGTTGTGATCAGTCATTAATACAGATGTGCAAGGATTCTGTGACAGGTTGGAAGCACTTCTATTTTCACCCATTGAAGAAAGGGGATGAGCAGGACAACTCATAAATTAGTAGCCCTCAATTCTGTTAGTGCGGCAATGTGTAAATTGCTTGAAATAAACCTGGCATGTCTGTGATATTCTAAATCACAAGCAGCAGATTTATCCGGTGCTGCACCGCATGCTGACATAACGAGAGGGAAATAAGGCAGTGCCCACAATCAGTAGCCAACTTGCCAAAAATACCCTCATTTTAATAGAAACAAAAAAAAGTTCTTAGCCTGTGGATAGTCATTAATAGGTTTTTGGTTTGTTGTTTTGGTGGGGGAGGCTTTGGAGGGGGTGGGGGCGGGGTGAGGGGTTAAGGAGGGAAGTTTAAGCCCTGAAAAAATAGGCTTATAAAGAAAGTGCCTCTGTAGCTAGTAACACTAGTGTCACTAATGCAATGCTGTGGCTTTGTGCTGGTAAAATAGTAACAACTACTAGGTGGCCATAATGCCAGCTTCCAGGCATTGCTCCAACAAAGTCTTTGAAACTACTGGGGAGAGAGTCCAACCTTGAGGGCCCATCACATCTCTCACTGCCTGCTGATAGTGTCCATAAAGTGGGACTGCTTTTAATTAAAGAAGTCCCAGTCCTCTAGGAATTTGGCTTGGTCTGAAACCACCGACTCATTTCATTTGACCAACTAGATTGTACTAAATGGCAGTGAACATCTGTCCAGTCTGGGAAGTGATTGATCTAAAGTGGTAGCAGTAGGGGTGAGAAGTTATGAATGCCTCTGCTATCGTAGCAAGTATTTGAGCCATACTTCTGACTTGGTGCTTGTAAGAGCTAATAACCATCTACCCATCCCCTTCTCCCAAGGGCATGCTATTGCCATGCCGTTGGAATGGAGTCAGAATCTCCTCCCAGTTCTTTCCCTCCTCCTGAAGGATGTTGCCATCTGTGGGTCCTTAACTCTATTGGCTTTCTCTGTTTGTAATAGGTTTATCTCCGTCAAAGCCTGCATTCAAAGCCCAGAAAGCTTCTGGTGTTTGCTGACATAGCTAGAGCGAGCAGGCTTAATGCAGTCATTCTTGGCAGACATCTGTCTCGTGTTACCTCTCCTTTTGAAGGTTTTCCCACCTACATGCCCTAAGGTGTTTGATTCTTGATTCGCTTTTCCTTCTGCCCTTTGCCATTGCTCAGAGATACGTCCTGTTGTGTTGCTAGGTTTCATTTGGTGTTCTCAAGGTGTGCCCTCTAATTGAAGAACCAGGTGAGGCAGTCTTAGTCAGCTCCACAGCAAATGCTAGCGCCTAAAGCTATGAGTTTGTCTTTGCTGCCATTTCCTCCATTGCATACACAACACCAGTATCATTAGGTTATTTATTTAGATGTCAAATAACTGAAAACCCACCTAAGCAGGACCCAGCATGGCACTGATGTTACAATCAAATCCTAGCCATACCAAAATAATTGTTTTAGCAGCCAGGCCACTAGAGTCTCTACTCCTTCACTTGTACAAGAAGCAAAACCTCAGCCCTCTTGCAAACATGCCTTTTGTAGCATGTGTTCTGGCCACCGAGCAAGGCTGGGGTGTAATTAGATGTGAGCCCAGGGCGGTAGAGAATTGTTATTCTTCCAAGACAGAATCATGTTTCCCAGGAGGGCTTTCAAAACTATTTCATGCATAAAGACAAATCACTTTTAATAATCAAGGATTGGTAATGGGCCGTAAGATGCCAGCGAGGTCCTGTTTCTCCCTCTCAGTGGGATAAACCAGCATTGTTCACCCCAGTGTTTTCTTCTGTGTAACTTTATTAATAGAGAATTTTCCATTGCCCAGCCTCCCACATTTACTGTTGCTGCCCTTTTAAACACAAACCTAAAGAGCCGTTGGACTTCCTCCCTATTGTTGTGTGCATGAACTATAATTCCTGACAGCTTCTATCTTTTGTTCATGTTTGTACCTTTCTTTTGATGCGGCTAGACTGGTGCTTTTGTTTTCTCCAGTAAACAGTGTGCTCCGAGCCAGTTCCTTCTGCCCGACTAGCATTTCGCTACGAAACTTCACGCCTTCCCTTGTAGCACAAGGGGCTCTTTAGTAATGTAGAGCAGCAGTGGAAGAAAATAGACTTCCTTGTTGTGACTTCTTTCCGCTGCCTTTTAAAACGTCTATGCAAGTTTTCTACAGACAGCTTAGCCTCAGAACACCTCTGCCATGTTTGCTATTAATGCAGTAGCAGATTTTCTCATTGGTCATGCAAACTGACTCATTGAGGGGATGCTAAAATGTTTGCAGTAGGACACTTCTAAGGAGAGAGCCTGCATACAGACACTGATAGGACAGTTATGATTAGAAATTAAATGTTCGTCTGTAAAGAGAAACCGGATCAATGAATGAATTGATCAGCCTGTCCTTTTGGGTAACTGGACTTCATGGGGCATGGTTTGACCCTAGAGTTTTCTGTTTCATAAGTATGTTCAGAAAAGTTATGCCTTGGGGACTGAGTCATTTCCAGTTGTTGGTTCTTTTTTTCTGCACGTGCCCTAGTGCTGGCTTTTCTTGATGATTCAGCCCACCTCCCATGCCTTCTGCCAACTTATTGGTAAAATATTCTGTCTGGTTGTTCAGATTTAACGATCTTTTGTCGGGGGCTGTTCTAATACATTTTGCCATGCAAACACCAGGACTGTTTTGTCATTGGTGAGGAGTGAAAAAATCAATAGAGGAAGAGCAGAGATCTTTTTTGGCCAGCAGATTGAAACATCCAGTGGGTAAGCTGAAGGCATGAGGCAAAGGATCTGAAACAACCAGGAGGAAGAACGTCATTGCAGAAGGCATGGCTCCACTCCCTGTTGCAGTAGCAGGAAGAATGCACATGAAGCAAATTGCATGTGCCAAGACTCACCTGCTGACGCATTAATGTCGATACAGTGCCAATATCACTGTTCAATAGTATGAGGACACCACAGCTGATCACTTAAAAACAGTTTAGTTGTGTTCTTTCTGGAAAGACTTATCTGCCCTCTTTGAATATTTAATGCTCTACTTAAGAGGAATCTCAAAGCCCCCAGTAGGGGCTGATTTTCCTAGTGTATGTTTGTTTAAAATGGCTTGCACCATACTCTAATGGGAGCAAGAGGCTTATATAGCATCTTCTCCTGTGCTAGCGTATGGCAGAGCTGAGGCTCCTTGAAAATGCCCTGTCCTGTGAGTTTGAACCTGGTTTCCACATGCAGCATAAATACGGTGCTGGGGGGGTTCCTTCTGATCAATGTATATCTCACTTCTTTAGGACAGCAGCTATGTGAGGTCTTGGAGCTGATGAGAGAATGAAACTTCAAAAGAAAGATCATCTACATTGGCATCCTAGTTGCAGGTTAAGGTATGAGGCACTGGATTAACCCAGTGATCTGCAGAATTTGTTTTAGGCAGGAAAGAAGCACTCTTATGGAAACAAGGTTTCTCTTTCCTTTACACCCCTTTGCTTCCTATTCTCTTGTTTAAAGCCTCAAGACTAAGGGGAGGGAGCATATTTATGCCTAGGACCTTCTTTTAGTCTTTACTGAAGACCTAAAATCCACCCACCCACTAGCTTCCATATATAATTTAAGCCATAGTTTTTTCCTCTGACCCTGGCTACACTCAAGTTGTCAGAGAAATGCATCTCCAACAGCATTGTTTGCGTGGAATGGCCAGCAAGGAGAGGAGGCTGCTAGAAGCATAAAGACTGGGCAGCTGAAATAGGCAATCCCTCTTCAAACATGGTTCATAGATTCATAGATGTTAGGGGCTTGAAGGGACCTCTTGAGATAATCAGGCCCAGCCCTGTGGAATCAGAAAAAAATAAATGCCTTAAACTTTGATCATTTGAGTTATAAGATGACATAACTGCTTTGTGGAGAATTGCTGGCTCTGTATAGTAGAACAGATAAGGGAAAGTGTTTGTTCTTTGTAACTCCTCTGCAACTGCTTCACTCACCGCAGCCTTGAAGATAGCAAAAAGTGTGTACAACTCTGATTTCCAGGTGCAAGAAGGAGGTTTGTGAACTAACCTCGCCTCCCCCATAAGTTCCCATCCTGATTACAGCAAAGAAGTAATGAAGTAATGTTATAGCCGCTTTTCATGCTAATTTCATATATGATCACGTGAGCTGTAAGCGACTGTTAAAAAGTATATAAGCCTCCTGATTTTGCTCTTGTGGGGGAACCCCTTCCAAGTGCTTGGGAAATCCATGTCACTTTAGAGTCCCCCCTACAGCTGTAGTTTCTTTTGAATAAAAACTTCTGCTGACCTGACCTAAAAGTATGCTGCGTGTGTTTCCACGACAGCCCCCTCCACCCTTGTACTCACTTTGCTCCCTGCCTGGTTGTTCTGCTCCCATGTCCTATAGGCTCTCTCTCGTCTTTGTGTAGGTCAGAAGATGTCCACCTCTGGCTTTCATCACCGTCTAATGGAGTTTTTGTCATTGCTGCCACCTGTGAACTTGGAGGAGCAATTGTGCAGCGTTCCCTCCACTGAAGATACTCAGACTTAAAGGATGACAACACACCCTGGCAGGGCACAGAGGGATAGAGATAACCAAAAGCTATGCTTAGCAGTCAGGATCAGTGCACCTTGACTCCCTGGAGTTGTAGCACTGTACCAACAGTCAGCTAAATCCTTCAAACATCACAGGTAAAAACAGTTTCTTCCTAGAGACATTAGCTTGCACATTGAGGTTCTATATCTTCTCCTTATGGATGCTCACCTTCTCAGAGGGCTCTAAACTAGTGTAGAGGTTTGCCATGTGGTTCTTTGCCAAAATTTCTCCTCCTCACGTTGTCATGTATTGTGCCAGTGGTGCAGTTAGCTACTTACCCACCCTAAAAGTGGCTACATTTTGGTCATGATTAGGGTGAGTTCTCTCCTTTGCCACGTATGAGAAAATGTCTTTCCTTCCTGAGAAGTCACTTGCATAATTTTAGTTTGAATAATTTTGGCCTGAAACACTTCCTTTATTTATGATGAGCCTTGATTATATCATTAAGTAATCCTAATGCAAATTTGTGATTAGCATTGTAAAGGGAGGCTGTCAATGGCTTCTCTTTGGTGTAATGTCTAGTACAGTAGTTCTCAACCTCTTTAGACTCAAGGTACCCCTCCATCACTTCTATGAATTGAGCAGGACCCTGTTTCGAAAGCAAATTGATTTATAGTGCTTTTCTGCTTGGAGAGGGGCTGAGAAGGAGGAGGAGCAGCTAGCAGGATACAACCTATGCTACAGTGAGGGGGGGAGAAGTGAGCCTGCACTTATCACCTTATCTTGCTTATCTCCTCTCTGCCTGTTGCACCCTGCAAAGGCCATCATGGCTTGGGGTGCAGGGCACCCAGGTTGAGAATCATTGATCTAACATAAAACCACAATACAAGATATTTAAAACATTTCCCCTTCAGATTTTATTCCATGATATAATTTAAGGTGATTTTGTGATCCCAAATGTATCTGTTCTCCAAGAGAAACCTGTGATAGGACCTGACCCAGTGGAAGCCTGTGTGCTGTCTCAGTGGATATCCTGCATCCAAAGGTCAGATAGTGAGCAGGCTGGCATGACATTAAAAAAACCCTTTCATAATAGTTAGCAATTGCCCCCCTGACTGACAACCTCAACAGACAGATTAATGGTTGAATGGTTCATGGAAATGAACTATGTTCGCCCCTAGAGAATCACTTCTAAGTAAGACTTGGGAGGCCACATTACTGCTTCAAAATAAATTCAGTGATATATGAGCGAGACTGATGTTGCTAGCAGCCTCATGGGTAATGATGTCTGCACATAAGTTTGCTAATGTTTGCTGTGTAAAGACACTGTCCTCAGGGTGCATTCAGTTGCAGAGGACTTTAACAGAAGTGAATCAGGTCAGTGAATCAGAACTTTGCCAGGTCTTACTTGTTTATGTCAAATCCTTCCCTATCTGCTGTCTGCCTCCGGATGAAATACTTCCAGGGTGTTTATACACAAATCTTTTGGCTGTTTCCTAGAGTGAAGCTAGGGAAAAAAAATGTCTCCTTGCTCTGTACAGCCATAATGCTGAGAAGTTCTAGCGCCCCCATACTTTGTTAGCTGCAACTTCAAGTTGGCAGAGGGGTGACCGGCTGTCAAGGATGTGCCTTTTGCTGTCTTCATGGGTATCTGCCCCAATGTGGCCATGTTTTGTAAGCCTCTGAAAAGCCTTAGCTGGCCTTGGCATGGAAGTTTGCTAGAGGCTGCCTGCATTATTGTTAAAAGATTGCGTGTGTGCTAGTCATGCATGCACCTCCGTACCTCCCGGTGGAGGGACTGTCCTCCATTCCTACTTGCTGTTGCACCAGTGCTAAGTGTCCTGGTGGTTCTCACCTTTTGTATACTCAAGGCATCCCTCAGGAAAATCCAGCTTTTAGATTTTCACTCATTTCTTGACTACAGAAAAATAATAGAGCAGTTCTCCCATTACAAAGATCTCAGAAAGACCACAGCAGGTCAAAATGATTTTGGCACTCTGGCTTCCTATTTGAAATCTCTGGGTTTATCTTGTGAATCATATAAGTGTTTGAACATCTACAGTGTTAATATTGTGTGGCACCCACAGCGCCCTTAAAAGGATCAGGGTGTTGAGGCACCCCAGTTGAGAATCACCGGTCTATACTCATTACGGTACACTCCCTTTCAAGTCCTGGAGTTGAACCCCAGACTTGCCAAGCCACTTCATTCCAATCTTCTATAGTGTCCAGCACAGAGTTGGGGCTCTCACAGGCAAAATATGTCATTTACTTTTAGTGGGGGCTGGTCCTCAGAGAGGATAAGAATTTACTACTGCTGTCCAGGTACTTAGGCACCTCAAGTAGCAGACTCGGAGCTGTGGATCAGAGTCTCAGGCTCTGCTGATGTCCCTGGTGAAAGTCATTGTAGGTTCTTATGCTATTGCCAGTGTTTTTCCTCAAGCTGTGGACAAACCTGATTTAACTGCTTCAAAAGGAATGGGGAGCTGTTGCATGTATGCCTGCACCTTTCTGTAGCAACCACACAAGTTATCTTAAATCACTGGCACTTTTAACCAGAATGAAACAGGATTAAAGTTGCAATGGTAGCGTGCAGTTAAATTGTAACCACTCACATTTTATCAGTGGATAACACAACTTGTTACATCTGTCTGTGCCCTCAGTTTCCATTTTTTTTTAAACAAAATTGCAGCCAAAAACACTATGTTAAGAATGTTAAAGTTTGCAAAAATAAAACAAGCAGAAGTTAGGGCATTGCACATGCAGGGTCTCAGTGTGCCTTCTATTCAGGCCTTACGTGGGGTATGAATTATGCCGTTAAATAGATCATCATGGTCTGGGCCCTCCAGGATCCCAGCTATCTCCATTTGATCAAACTTTGAATCCATCTGAAGTCCCTCTAGTACTTTCTACAAAAGAAACCAAACTCTTTATTTGGAGCAATGCTGAGTTGCTAGCTCAAGAGTTAGATAACAGTTAGATAGCTGTTATTTCTAATAAAGAGGCCTCCCCACCCCCATTTTTAAATTCACCTTTAAAGAAAAGACAAGCTGTGAAGTCAATTGCCTTTGTAAATTGCTTTAGTCCGACTTCTGCTGCAAACATGAGTGAGAGCGAAATTGTAACAAAGCTGTCCACCAAAGCCAAGCACCCTTCCAGGTCACAGAGTAGGTAGGACCTCAGTTGTGTCTCCTTGAACTTTATTAAACTTTTAGCCCAAAGCAATAGCATAGTTTAGCAGCCTGGTTAAGACCCTGCCTGTACAGCAAAGGTCTGTGCATGGTGAATATAACCACAGGATGGGGTCCAGGTATGCCAGGGTGCCATAGATCACAGTCCATGACCAAGTCTTCAGCGTAGTTCAGGGACGTGGATGAGTGAGTCCCATTTATATGACATAAAACTGCACTGCAACAAGAAGCACTGACATAGTTACAGCTGCTGCATCAAGGCTTCGTGGCTCTTTATTTTTCCAGTAGGAGAACAAAACAGAGATTGCTGACCATTAATTGTTTTGTCAGCCAGACATGGAAACAGAAGTGCTGGGCTTGTTACTGACAGCGCTGGAACTGGACTGGCCTTTCTGCAGGGATCTGCTTGGGCCTGAAACCTGGAGTACAATATTATCTCAGCTTGCACCACATAGGAAGTTGGGAGGAAAAGCTCCTGCCAGGCAGGGGGTTGCAGAGGCTGGGGAATTCAAAACAATCCACGGAGGGCCCTGGGCACTACAGAGCTGCAAGCGGCGGATGGCGCGTTCAGCACTGAAGTAAACAGTCTGACTCCGCTTGGCTGATCTCTAAAGCACAGGCTGAGCTGTAGCACCCCCCACCCCCACATACACACACTCTAAACAATCCTTTCTGCAAATCTTTGTTCCTGAAGTGTAACTGGACTGGGCTGTGCCTTAGCTACCAGCCCCAGCCCTTTTCCTGTGGGTGGATGCCTAGATGGGGAGGAGGGAGCGAAGGCTTAGCTGACCAGGCTGATCTTGCCCATACAGGTGTGCATAACTCAAGGAATGTGAGACAGTCTGAGTCATGGACACTCCTCCTCCCTCCACCTGAGCTGGAATAAAATCAGCCCTCGCCTGAGAAGGGGATCCCACTACAGATTTCTTACCTGCTCTTCTGGTTATACCTCCCCTCCCCACACACACGTCTGGTGGGAAAAAAAAAGACACGGGTTGAAGAAACGACAGCAAGGGAAAGTGGAGAAAAAGGGAGCAGTTGATATTTGACCAGAGGGAGCAGAAATTCCTGCAAAGGTAGGTCAGGTCTGTGAGCCATGTGGCTTCTCTGAGGATTTAAACCTGGCATCTAGGCGAAGAAGAGGGGGGAAGTACAAAAAGAAATCAAAGAGAAGGCTGGAAATCAGCTAGTGGTAGCAAAGCAGTGAAGCTTCCCTTTTTGCTCTCAGAAGAATTTCTTGGCTTGGCGTGTGGATGCCTCTTGTTTGGATTGTTGCAGAGGATTTCGGCTTTGAAGCAGACCCAGCGCTAATGAGGTTTGTGGAATTAATTCATCTGTGCTCTCATGTCCGGCTTGCTTGCATTTTTTTCACTATTGATTGAACAAAGGGGAGTGGTTAAATGAGGCACCGGGCTTCTTGCACAGGTAGGCATGGAAGGGATTAGGGTAGGCTTAGTTGGGTATGTACTTTTTTGTTTTGTTTTCCCAACCGTGTGGTGCATTTTCTTGTTCCTTTGTGCTGTTTGGAAGTGGCACAGTTGTTGATCAGACGGGTTGGTTTTGCAGAGTTGTACTGTATTGGTAGCTTTTTTAAGTTATTTTGTTAAAAGGAAAAAAAAAGTCCAGAGTTGGGTCTGTAACGCACACATGGGCACATTCATGTGCGCTCACACCTAGCAGCAGTGATCTAACAGGAGTGAAGCTTTCAGAGAGCAGATCCCAGCTGTCTGAGTGGTGCAGTTAGGAGGGAATCTGTCCCAGCTTTCTAAGGTTTGCTCTTTATATTGTCTCTCTGTACCTGGGGAAAGGTGAACATGCCCTGGACTTGGCATAGGGAACTTGCAACTGAAATTTCAACCTGCCTAAAGTGTTTGGAGCGACAGGATGGGAATGACCTGTTACAAACACCCAGGGCATTTTTCAAAACATGGAGCAGAGTCCAAACTCTGCCTAAGTTTGGCGGGGTGGTTAGAGCAGGCCGGTGGGATTGATGTGCTGAGAAATGGGCCAAAAGTGAATCAAGGTTCAGGTGCAGGATTGGGTGCGGTGTTAGTCTTCACTGAAGTGCAGATAGAGATCTGCTTTCTTTTGCTAGCAGATCTGCAGGGGCGAGGGGGCAGGAAAGCAAAAGATAGGATAAATGTGTGTTGGGGGGAGAGTGGGTGAGATCTAGAGACAAGGAATCAGTCTATCTCTGGGATGGGGTAAGAGGATTTAGAGCACACACTGGCTGGAGGAAGATACAGGGTACAGCATAGGTTGAGAAGTTGAAGGTGCTGTGTTGGCATTTGGAGGTGAGCAGTCAGTGTGGGGTGTCCATCAAAGACCTGAAGCTATCTGCTAACAGTGCAGACAAGATTCCCAGTGCA